GTTGTATTGTGTCATAGACAACATTTTTGAAACATTTTTAATGTAATCGTTGAATTTTCACTTCGTGCAGTTGAATTTTCACTTCGGCTGAACGTTTCCTTAAATTTCTTCTCATACAGAACCACAAAGGGGAAGAACTAGCCACCGAGAATTGAAATTAATTAAAAACTGTCTTCGTTCAACTATGTCTCAAAACCGTTTAAATTCATTGGCCATAATGGCAATTGAAAATGATGTATTGGAAAAGGTTAACTTTCAGGATGTCTTGAACGATTTTGTAACAAAAAAAGTTAGAAGAGTTAATATTTAAGCTTATTGTATGATTTTTTTTAAATGCATATATTAATTACTTATATTCTTTTCGTTTGATTCAATATTTTTATTGAATAATGTGATAATATACTATATATAATATACTGTGATATATAATAATTAGGAGTTAGAAGACGGTAGGGGAGGGGGCCCGAGACGGGCATTGCCTAGGGGCCGCGACATGCATAAGCCGGCCCTGTATACATAGTTCAGTTTTTGTATTACCTATTCCCAGTTTCAACACAAAAAGATGCAGAAATTTGATATAAAAATATATTATGTAAAATAATAATCTCATAAGATTTATTAAACAAATGTTTTAGTGTCTTGGACAAAAGATGGCAAAGTATTGGAGGATAGCAATAATTTCAAACTGAGCCAATCAGCTAAAGTGTACTCCCTCTCCATAAAGAAGTGTGCGTTAACTGATGTCGGTCAGTACAGTGTTAAGGCTGTTAGTTCAGCACTGGGTGAAAGCATAGCGACCTTCTCTCTTAATGTTATCACAGATAATTAATTGGTAAGTATCTCAATTAAAATATACTTTATATTTAAGGGAGGTCTCTCTTAATAAGACATTTTCTTTTGCAAGGAGAAAGAGAATGTTTTGTCATAACTGTTGCCTTTCTAAATCAATGTTTATTTCTCCACTAAATATTCTACGTTGTTTAGATTCAATTTTTGAATGAAAAGTTTTAAAGGCTTTTAAATTTTTTTTTTAAATATTATATAATTTACTTATTAAATTTTTATTGCAACTATAAATATTTTTTTTTTGAGTTTTATTTAAGTAATTATGAAATAATGTTCACAAATTAAAAAAAAAAAGAAATGAAATTAAATCGTATGTAATCGCAAAATTCGTCATGCTTTAAAAATATTATTTATATTTTAACTTTCAAATATTGACTCTCAATGTTTAAATTTTTAGAATTTAAAATAAGCTACCCATAATAAAAGACACAAGAAACATTCTTTATTGATTCCGATAAAATGAATTCACTGTTTGTTCCACAGATGCGAATTTTTAAATGATCGATTTGAAAAAGATTTTATTTTAATTAATAAAAATAGTAGTAAAACTTTCAAATTTAAGGTCCGTCATTTCAATAATGCAGCTTTGGGGAGATAGTTCATAAACAATCATTTTGAGATCATCCTTTTATTTGTTACTTTCTGCAAATGTAGTAAAAAAACGGATGTTTTTTAGTTTCGAAATTGTCTCTTTCCGTAAATTTTATTAATGATCAATTATAAATGATTTTTATAAAATTGTTAAGCGGCCCATTCAAAGAGAATAACCTTTCTTTGTATTACAAATTTTAATCAAATCTTGGAATGTTATTTTTTGAATGCAACTCAATTATTGGATCTATAATGAGTGGGTGGTCCATTCATAAAATTGCTGAAGAGAGTAGCAAATGATGCTGTTTATTGCCTTTGTTTAAAAGTAGTTTGATATTTGTATCCAAACAGTAGCCTTCGTAAAATGACGGTCTAGACTTTTTTCTCATCTATGCTTATGAAAAAACTCTTTTGTTTCCATATTATTAAAAAAGAAAACAACAGACACTGTATTTAAGATATTTGCTTCTTTTTTCTAGATTCCTAAATGGATGTTGGTATAGAAAATAAGGAATCATCGTTTCAGTAAATTTCACAATTCCAATGAAGTGTGTGCTCTTTTGTGACATTCATTTAAATATCATGGATCACCTATTTACAAGCATTATGTTTTAACTCCCCCCATTCATTCATTAAAATATCTTTTTTTATTAAAAGATATTTGTGTTTTCAAATCGGAACTCTTTACTCTTGTGAATGCATTTGACTCCTTTATGATTCTGTATTGTATTTTATTACAAGCAAATGCAACTCTGTGAATAAAGTCAATGATGAAGTCTCAATTGTGATTTTTAATGACCAGACACAGAAGAATAGAATAGAATTCTCAGCAATTGTGTAGAACAACTTTTTTTGTAAAGTGTTTAATTCAAACCTTATGTAGATTCATAATGAATGTTGTTTGATTTGGAAGAACTCAATCAAGAATAAATAATATTTTTGCATTTCAGAACTCTTGAGTTACTTAAGGTACTTTAAAATCATGTTTTGTTGTTAAAAGCAAACTGAGATTATTTTTGTGTATAAAATGAAAAACCATTTCTAGTTGAAATAATGACCGCACCTTTACTAGTCATGCAATAGTTTTTATGTTTAGTGAAGTTACAGGGAAGACACAAATTATCAGTGCAATTGTTTTTTTTTCATTCCATATACTAATTGATAAGTAAGAATTTCACAATACATTGATTAATTAGTGAAAATATTGATATTTAACAATCTATTGCAGTATTTTTCAAATTCAACTTGCTTACATTAGTTTTTCAATGCATTTGTTACCTAAATAAAATTTATCAGCGTGGCCATCCACCTGGAAAACCTTGAATTATCAAGGAATTTTTTTATACTGGAAAAAACCTAGAAAAGTCGGGGAAATTTGGATAAAAATCAAGGAATTTCAAAGAAAAGCTGGAATTTTTCTCTTAATTTAAATTACTTTACCACCCGTTATATCCACTTTTATTTAGAAGTAAATTTATCGTAAAAAAGTTGAAATATCATCAATTCAGCAATACTTTTCTTGCATTAAGATTCTCTTCATTATTAACCTGCTAAACTAGAATACCATTTCAAACTCTTCCATCTTGGGGAAATAATGAAAAAAATCTTTGACCTCTTTAGAGATTATGGGACTATGCAATTTAGGAAAGGTGGATGTGGATATCTGATTATGAAAGTAGCTTTTTTTTTTAAATCTTCTTTTAGTCCGTGCGCTGAATTCATTAATTGTTCTGATGTTTTGGGGGTATTTTTTTCTTTATAAAATTCTCCAAAAAATAATTGGCTATAATTTAATTAGATATTTTTATCTTGCACTCTTTTTCTAAAAGCTTTTGTACTCTCATCCAATGAATTATTTTTTCTCAGCAAAGCCAACCAATTGCTAAGAGCAAAATTGTTACAATTATTACATTGATGCTGATTTTCTGGATTTCATTATAACTTTTATTTTGATATTTCCAAAACTGTTTCTTCTTATACCCTAAAGCTGGCAAAAACCAAGGAATGTATGGAAAACATGTTAAATGATATATAAAAACTTAGAATAGAAAAAAAAAATATTTATTTTATTAGAAAGAAGGAAAACAAAACTTCGTTTTTTTTTTTTTTTTTTTTTTTTTTTTTTTTTNTTTTTTTTTTTTTTTTTTTTTTTTTTTTTTTTTTTTGTTCTGCACTGTACAGGAACAGGTTTCAAGTTGGGCAACAGATGACCAAAATCTTAAACTTAATATTAAGTAAACTAGGTATCATCTCCAAGGTAAAAAATTGAAGATTTAGAAATAATGATTTTTAACTTATAAATGTCAGTTTTCAATAAGTTAGAGGCTGTTAAATGAAGGGCTACATCATTTAAAGTTTTCAACTGTGGCAAGGGAATGTGTAACAAAGTACAGTTTTTTTTTTAAACAATTCACACTAATAATCGAAAATGGAAAGAATAATAATTAAAATAAACTGTAACAAAACAGGTTATCTTGCACAAATATGTAGAAAAATTTCTCATTTTGATTTACAAGAAAAAAAATGTTTTACGTGCAACACCAAAATACATAATTGTACTGTGACACTAGGATTTAATATAATCAAAATATTTTTTTTCTGTTTAAAGCAAGATTTTGATAATAATAAATATTTTTACACACCACTGCTCTTTTCATTACATTTTTTTCCCCTCTCTTATTTCACCTTTTCTTTATAAAATATGAAGAGAAACAACATAAATATTCTTTAAGGTTACTTTACAATAATGTATTTCACCTCAGTAATCTAATAAAATTTGTGCAACTATGCTGTACTTTTAAGTTATTTATATTATAACTTAAAATTGATCAATAAAGTTTTTATATATTTATTTTATTTATTTAAGGTAAGCATCCCAGTTTTAATTTCTGAAGTAACAATTTAACTTCATTTAGAACATTTTAAATCAATCATTTTGCTTAGAGCTTAAAAAATTTAGAGAGAAAAAAATTTCAGAACATTCTGTAGCTATTTATTTATTTTTTTTTGCGTAAAGAAAAAAAATTTGTGAAAAAAAATATTAAACCGACTTACATAGCAAACCACAACAATAACTCACATCCTATTAAATTTTTAGGTAAACGGGAAAAAAACTATTAGTTAATTATTAGGCCTGTAATTGGTCAACGAAACTGGAGAGGGGGTATTAAAAAGAGATAAAAATTAATTCTGGAATTCATATGAAATTTTTTTCAACAATTTGGCCCACTTTTTATGCTACAACAGGACATATGCTCTTTCTTGTTCACTGCTAGATATGCCACTATATAGAAGTAAAAGGCATATCGGTAAATATTATCTGCTACAAAACTATTATTTAATTTTATGCTGACAATAAACAAAGCGATTATTTTTCCTGTGCCCAGAAAAATCAATTTTTCCTAGAAAAATTAGGCTGATAATACAGTAAAAAATTGTTGTTTTTTTCCTTTTTAATGTACAGTGACTATTTTTTTTCCATAGAATTTTTCTTATTGTGTATAAAAATAGTGAATTTTTTCAACATTTTCCCCCATATTTAAAAAAAAGCAGTTTATTCTATGATTTTTAAAATGATTAAATTTAAGAAAATAATGCTTAAATATGAGTTTAATTTATATTGTTATTAATATATTACATTGTTGTTAATGTACAGTCCGCAAAAAAAAAAAAAA